ACAAGTCTCAAGTCCATCTCCCTGATCATATTTGTATTTGATTAACTTGGATCCTGAGGTAATTCTTTCTGCATAACTGTTTTGGATGTTTGCAAAGCCCCTGGAAGATTCAGAGGCAAACCTCAAGACTTCTCCAAATTGTCTACTGAATTTTTCTTTTTCTTGAATTTTTCTGAAGTCTGAATTTGATAACTATTACATAAAACACTTAGACATTTTCCTCAGACAATATTCTTTCAATATGCACTGAAGATACTTGAGTAAAAAGGCAATGCTGTTGTATATACTTGAAACTAAAATAAGACTGTATATCAATAAAAAATTTGGGGGGAATATAGGAAAGACTAGAATATAAAAATCTTTTTCTTCCTGTTCTTTCAAGCTTATGAATCTGGATCAGTTGACATAAACTGTATTCTAAGAATACAAAGCAAAGCTATCTTAAAAAACTGTAACCATTTATAGCTAATTATCCACATAAATAATGCCATCCTTACACTATAAATATCCATGACCCATGACTTCTGGTTTTGTGTCTATTAAAATTTCCTCATCATTCTCATGATAGATTTAATATGAAAATTGTATAAATGTGCATTTGTAAAATAAGTCTTTACTATTAAAAAAAAGGCAATGCTATCCTGATCCCCAAACAGGAAGTCAGTGACAAGTTGAATCTGTTTTTGTCAAATTCTTAGTCACTCAGTCACCGAGATGTTATTAGTATTTCCAGAATGAGGGTTCAATATGATAAAACTATGATTATAAAAAGGGTCCTGACACCTTCCTGGAAGAATGTGCTTTTGTGTGACTTTTGCCCAAATAATCTCTCCTGCAGTTGGCCACCCTGCCCCCAACTTGCACTCCTATCCTCCAGACCCTGGCTTTAAAAAGCCCAACACAGGACTCACACTAAGGGCAGAGGCTTATGATAAAAATAAATCAACATCTGGGCTGGCCAGGCCATGGAGTTTACTGCAGCGCCAGTGTCTTAACAAGTCATGCGGGTGACATTAGGAGGATAGGTTTTCTACAGCTTCGTTCTGAGTCAAAATAAACTCAATTCCTTCTAATTTTTCTTGAGCCTTTCTACAATAAATTACACCTCTGCTTCAGTGCCCTACTGCATTGGGCTCTGTAACTCTCAGAGAAATAAACTCACATGGTGTCAGGACCCTCAGCCAGCCTCCTCACCGAGTGTCTGAAGAAGCACACCCTGCTATGGAGCTTAAGGCCCCTGGAGGTACCACATTTTCCAGAAAGGTCTGGAGATGTGATTCAGGGAGAAGCACAGGCACATACATGTCTGAAAGACTGAGGCCTATAAGTAATAGTAATAATGATGACAAGCACTTAACAACATGTCAATTCTAAATGTTTCAGAGATTATCTTTAATACTCAAGCTTGTGAAGGAGTTTCTTTTAAATTCCAGTTTACCAGAAGAAGAACTTATCCAGGGGCACAGGGTCATAGGTGGACAAGCCTGAGAGACAGGCTCCTGACCAAAGTCTTCCCAGCACGCTCGCAGTTTTACCTGGTGCTCTTACTGAAAGAAGCAAAAAGGAGATCGTTAGCAGGCTAAGATGCCCCCAAAAGACCCTACTAGCACTACGGCATGGAAGGTGGGTAACTTCCCCAGAACAGTCAGTTTGTAGAGTGAGACTAGTCATGGGAATTTGGTGGCAAATTTAATTCAACCCTCTGCCAAAGGTTACACCATTCACCTTCAGCGAAAACAACAATGGTCGGAAGGAAGTCTGAGCTCTACTCGCAGGCAGGGGCATTGAGGCGTCCCAGAGCTCTTCCCCCAACTCCTTTGATTTCTCTGCCCCTTCTCGGACTTGAAAGTTCAAAGGCAGGCCTTCCCTTCTCCAAGACTAGCATGGGATTCCAAAGGCAGCCTCCCCTCCTCACGTTCTCTTTTCTCCCCACTCCCGGGAAAGGTTCGGGCTGCAGCTCCCGGGTGCCCTCCCTCAAGGCGCTGTCCTGAGCGAGCTGGGGAGGTGCCGGTGGCAGGGTGGGGACCCCTCCTCGCTGGCCCTGAGGACTCCAGACAGCAGCCCAGAGCAGAGTGTTAGCGTCCTGGACAAGCTCTAGCCGCGGGTGCCGGGGTCCTGCGTAACCTCACCTACTCTCCACCAGAATGATTCTGTCGGTGAAAGGGCTCTAATGAGTCTCAAAGAGGCCGGGCTGGGAAGACCGAAGCAACCGGAGGGCATCTCTAAGGGGTCCCGAGCCCGAGGAGCGGGACCCTTCCTCGAGAGGGACGGGAGGGGGCGCTAATACCAGTGCTAAAGTCCACGGACCTCCTGCCTCGCGGCTCCCGCTGACTCGGACATGTGTCGGCGGTTCCAGTGGCCTTCTTGTGGCCGCTCTTTCACACCCGCGCATTGCCCTGGCCCCTTTGCGCTTTGGTGTCCCTCCCCCAACCGTCTCTTCAGGACTCCAGCCCTGGTCCTCATCGCTAGTTCTCCAAGGCATTCTCTATGGAGACCTAGCATTCCGACCCCAAGAGTCTTCGTGCCGCCCACTCAGTGCAGCCCCCACCCCGGCCAGGCCAGAGGGAACCAACTTCTCGCAGGGCTAGCTTCAGAAAGGTGGGCCAGGCAGAGCGCGCGCAGACGCGGCGCCTGCGCAGGAGGAGCGGGGAAAGGCCACCGGATGTCCAGAGGTACAGGGACCGCAGTGGAGGTGGAAGGAGCCCTCTGGTGATTCAGGTGGTTCTGGTACATCTGAAATTATTTCTCCAGTGGCAGGGCCAGACAAGGGGGCCTCCTCATCAGATGCTAAAACCCACTGAAGATACCGATCAGGGGCCCAAGAAGGAGTCACGCCTGGCTGTAGCCAGTTTACGATTTGGCCCTTGACAGCTCTCTGAAAGGAGTCTAGAGATGTGAGCATCCACTACTCCCAAAGAGAGTGGGATCAATCTAGGAAGACTCCTGAGGGTAATTGTGCCCGAGGTACCTCATTAGGGCTTAGGCAAAGCTCAGGGCAAGCCTGCCCTCTCTTTCTCTCCTTTTTTTGTTGTTTTATTTTATAGACTTTTCTCTGGGAAGTCAGAGGTGGTTTGTGAGAGGATGCCTTGTGCCAGAGCTAGAAGGCAGCCTTTCCAAGGAGCTGCTGACAGCATTATTTTATCTTTTTCCCTTCCGTAATGAAAACCGCTTGGTAAATGCTAGCATCACTGGGGTGAAATTGGAGGTGAGGGAGGTCTCCTTCACAACTGGTCACTTCGGTGGGTCCCTCTGCTTTGCTGCCTTGAACAACTAGTCTTCAGGGATGTGTCTGTGAAGGCAGGAAAGAGGACTAGAGGTTCGAAGGGGGTCCCAAATCTCTCCCAGGAGACGAAGCAATAACAGACATTCAGATCCAGAAGAGGAAGGGATTCATCACATCATTTATTTCCAAAGAAAATAGCAAAATGGAGCTCCAAGTACACAAAGGTCTTTGGGGGGGAAGTGAATCACAGATTTTAATTTTTTTTTACATATTTACAGCAAAAGTAAGCCACAGCTTTCAACTATGTTTTCATTCAACAATCACTTTCAGTCAAACACATAACTTTTTTTCTTTCAGGTTAGTTCATAATTTAAGGATGCTAAGGGGAGAGATGATAAATCACAAACAGTGTTGTAGTAAAGAGTTCCAAATAGTCTAAGGTTTCAGTCAGGCTTCTGTGTGTGTGTGTGTGAATTGTGATTACAAACCATTTGCCTGTCTGTGTAACTCACATTCATTGCAATCATAAAATTTCCCATAAATTAGCAATATAAACAAACATATGAGGACCTCCAGTAAACAAATAAAAATCAATATAAGAGACAACATTTTGTAGCAACTACAATAACAGCATGGGTTACAGCTTGGGGAAACTTTTTTACAAATCATTTAGTCAGCACACACATGGGGTGGGGAGGCAGGGGCATTCCTGCTCATTTAAACCACCTTTAAATACACATCAGGAGGTTTGGGGAAGGCTAGACAGGGTGAAAGTTCTTTTCTAGGCACAATGTAAAATGAAGAACTGCACATGTGGATTGGGGAGGGTGGCATTTGCATGCACTTTGGGGTCACTATTCTTTAAATCAAACCATCCGAACTCCAATTGCTAAAATTCTGAAGAAAAGAGAAAATTATAAGAACGTCTTTCTCCCTCAAGCCACTCTTTTCTGTTAATGGCAGAAAGGGCTTACTGATTGCTGCTAGTGGGAAGAAACACACAATGGGTCTATTTTTAGCAGAGATTGTCTATGAAAGAGCAGGAAATACTAACAGTCTCTTGATTTAGGTTCCAAAGATCCCAGGCAAGAATATTGGAGCTTGAGAAGTCCCCAAAAGAGGTTCGGCCAGGTGACCTGACTTATACTGACTGAGTTCAGGCCAGTGAAGAGAGAAGCAGACACACAGTGTGGGCGTGGAGTATGTACACTGTCTGCACCATCTCTGCATTCTTTCGCTCATGTCCTAGAGGCTGTGCAAAGGGCCCCTTAACATCTGCACACCTCTGCAGGCCCTGGACCTCATGTCTCTGTGTTGCCTTTGTGTTTCCCTTACAGGGACTTAGCTTCAAAGTTATCAGTTAGTGTAGTGTGGATGTATTTTTTTTTTTTAAGAAAGAAGTTTGATTTTCTCTCTTTAGAAACGGTCTAAAACTAACGGGGTAGAGGGAGTTTGACAGAGAGGAGAACAAATCGCTGACAAAGAACCTTTTACGTTTCATCAGCGTTGTTAGGACGACAAGCAGGAATGTCTCAAATAATAACTCCCACTTCAAAGATTTCTCAGCTCAATAGAAAGCGGACCATCCTTTTTATTCAACCACAAGGACTGGCACTAAAGAAGATTCCACTGTTTGATTTTTTTCCACCATGTTTATTTTTCCCCTATTCACTGGGGTACTTGGATAAAATAAACAACAAGACAATTAAGGAAACATGGACTTCTAACTTTCCTGCCATCTTCTCTATCCCCTTGGCCTTGGGCTCTTGAGTTCATGCCCAGGGCCAGGCTAAGTCTGAGGGGTATCATACACCTAACCCTGGGGGGGTGGGGCGCAAGAGTCGGGGCTGCAAGAGACTTCTGGGATAGAGGGGCAGAATGGGCTGTGGTTGAGGCCAGAGTAGAAATGTGCCAAAGGCCGTCTGAACTCCCCAGACTAATTCAGGGTGGCTCACACACCACCCAAGTCCCATTGAAATTCACCCATCCACCCTGTTCAAGATGCAGAGAGGCGAGTTGCACAAACCTGAGCTGGGATGCTCATTTGTGAAGCTTCTGAGATTGCCCTAAGGTTATTACTCCTGACCCTGGAGCCTTTTTGGGGCGCAGTCAAGATGCACGGAGTCCGGCTCCTCCCGTTCCTGAAAACGTCCTGGCACCAAAGCGACTCCCGCCCCACATCAGAGTGCAGTGTGAACCCCTAAACCAGGCGAGGCAGGTCCTAAGGAGGAAGTATATACTAGGGAGCGCAGTGACAGTATTAAATGGCGTGAAAGCAAAGGTCAGCACAAATGTATCTTAATAGAGTGTCTGCAGTGAAGTGTGCCGCCTTTGAAGCAGCCGCTCCCCGCGCGCATTTCCATGGCGAGCCTAACGCGGCATGCTGATGCACCGTCAAACTCACACTTTCAACCCCAAAACCCGACTCTTTGAACAACCGAGCTTGATTAGACCTTTCTCCTTTTCTTTCCCCGCTTACAAACCATTTCCTCGCCTTTAGAAACTCGCCATCAAACCCAAATGCGCCCTCTGATCACCGCAGAAAGCAGAAACAAAGGGGGCTGAGCGGCGATTCAAGCGGCCCTTTTCTTCCCTCACATTATTATCCATTTTTATTATGATCGGGAACAAGTGCCCATTCGCGTGGGTTTTGTTTACCGGAAATTAAATGAAAATGATTTAGTCCACGTCAAACAAAAATATATACTTGTATACACAAGAAAAAAGGCCTGTTAGACGTAAATATTATGTCCTTAATGAAAAGCCTGGACGGGCTCCAGGCTCTGCCTTTCAGGATTTCCGTGCGACTTGCCCATTGCCATAGAAATCCTAACTTACCATGAAGATGCACCGTGGCGAAGAAACATTGCTTTGTGCGCGGGCCCTTTGATGTCGCAGGCGCGAGATGCGGGCGCTCAGCTGCGCTGGGCGAGATTACCTTGCGAGCAACGCGGTGGACATCTGTAACAAGCAAATGAAAAATTAAAGGCTATTAGTGGCCGAAGAAGCATTTTAATTTTATTTCGTTATTTTGGATAGGGATGGAAGGTAAAATGGGGCCTAGAAATAGAAGGAAAAAAATGAGTTCTTTCAGGAGAGGCAAGAATTTTTAAACATCGTCGAAAAAGCAAGTTCTCCAGATGCCCTCTGCACCTTGGCCGTGGGTGGGTGTTTCCCTATGAGAACGAGGTGTTTGCTGCGGGACTGCCAACCTCTGTCCAGGCGGCCTCTGGGTCCTGCTGTAGTGTGTGGTGTTGGGGTGGGGGGGTCGGTTTATGAGTCCCCCTTCCACAAGAACGGATTCGCTGAGGATGTATTTGGAAGCTTCTGTTTTCTGTTAGGGGTAATGAAAACAGTGCCACTCCAGTTAGGACATTATTTGTCTGATGGAACTGTAGGGCTGTGGGGGCAGGAATGAGAATTGTCTAAAGGCTTCTGAAAAAAGAGAGAAAAGAAAATCCAGGAGAGTAGCAAGGCCAGAACTTGTTTGCTGGGCTCTTTAGGGGTCTCCTCCTAGGTGGGAATACACACACCTATTTATCTCCGAATTCTTAGGAGACTGAGAAGGTTCTGCCAAACTTTTTTCTCCCTTTTTCTTTATTTTCTCTGTCCAGATCTTAGCAGGAATTTCACAGCAGCCCCATCCTCCCTGCACAGGGTGGCTGACTGGGAAAACAGGCTCCGACTGGCAACAGTCGCAAAGACTTTCCTCTCCCCTGCCTCCAGCACCTGGTTCTTTTTCTAGGGACTTGGTACCCAGCATAACAAATACACATCCAATCTAGACCACTGGGACTTCGCCTTTAAAACATTTATTATTGCCCTTCACCTGTCTTGCCCCCACCCATTTTAAAATAAGACCAACATTGTGTGATTTTTGACAAAGACCAACATAGAATTGAGGTGATTCATCAGGTATTGTTGCCTAGGTGGGATTCCCTGGTTGTGGAGGCCTCGACTCAGTGACATCATTGGTCCACTCTGCACCCCCAGCACCAAGCACCCACAAGATTCCACAGGCAGTGCCAGGACAAGGGTGTGTGTGTGTGTGTGTGTGTGTGTGTGTGTGTGTGTGTGTGAAGGTGGTTGGTCTGGGGAAACTTCAGAGCACTGAATCTTAGTGCCCATCTAGTGCTCTTTTGCCTGTATTTCTGTTATTAAGACTCACTTCCTACCCCCAAGTATATAATGTATACAGAGCAGACAGACAGGCAGACAGACTTATCTATGTGTGTTTGGACCAGTCTGCAGGAGGAGGGCATGATCCTAGAGGAAAGTGCTGGAACACCCTTCCCTCTTATCTCCTTTATAGAAGTGGCTGAAAATTTGGGGATCTGGGACTTGTATATTTTTTCTAAGGATAGGAAGTGAGGGGAGGAGGAAGTGTAAGGGGGCAAAAGAGGAAAGGCAGTGGAGAGAAAAGGAAAGCTCAGTAATTCCCTCTGCCTCTTTTCCCGATGGGTACCTCTGAGAAGGTTCAAATAGGAGCTGGGAAGGGAGTGGGGAAGGCAATGCCTGAGGCCCAGGGCTGGAGGTGAACAATTCTTATCCTGTGAACCACAGGAGGACCTTGTGGTCTTACTTGTTGCCTGCAGTTGCCAAAATTGCTCATACCCTCTCCTAATATATATTTTTAAAACTTCTGCTTGTCTCTTTTCCTACTTCTTTATCCCAACACTGGTTTCATGTTACCTAGTCATTAGGGCGTCTGAGTGATGGGTGGGTGTGGGGTTCTGGGTGTGATTGTAGAATAAATAATGGACATTGTATACCAGCATATTCAATGAGCTCTGACAAATTTTAGCAGTGACTTCCGTTCTTCCATCCCTTCCTTCCTTCCTCACCCTCTCTTCAAGCCTCAATAACCCGGCCTAGACTAGCAGTCAGTGTACTCAGAAGCAGCAAACTGAGCTGCAGCCCGAATCCTGGAGGCGGCGGTGACAGCGGCAGGGCCAGGTGGTGGTGCGGGGCTTGGGGGCGCGGCGGGCGCAGCCACTGCAGGGTCCGCGCCCTGACACACGTACCATTCGCTCAGGTCGGTGCCACGCACCGCCACCGCCGCCGAGGAGGCCACCGGGGGCTCACGGCCGAGGTTCGATGAGGGTGACACGAGGGCAGACGGCGTGGCCGAGTCGTAGCCAGAACTAGGCGGCGGCGGCGGCGAGCGCCCGTGCACCTTCATGTGCTTACGCAGCGAACTGGGGTGCGTGTAGCACTTGTCGCAACCGCGCACTTTGCACGTGTATGGCTTGTCGCTCGTGTGCACGTGCGAGTGCTTCTTGCGGTCGCTGCTGTTGGCGAAGCGCCGCTCGCAGCCCTCGAACTCGCACCTGAAGGGTTTCTCCCCTAGTGGAAGCAACGCAAAAACATTAGTGCGCGTGGCCCGTGGCCCCGGCTCGGCCTCACCACCTTCCCCCAACTTCTCTTCCGGTTTTTGGAAAAGAAAAATATTTTCAGAAACCAATTTCCTCGGCGCCTCAGGCCCGGGACCCCTTCCCCGCTCAGAGCTTGCCCCCTGAGCTCTCTCCAGCACGCCTTCACCCCTCCCCCTCTCTCGCCTGGCCTGGGGGAGGGTACATAGGAGGAGCGACAAAGACTCCATCTTAGTCGAGTTTCCATTCTGGAAGATCCTGATCCACTACGGTTATTTTCCTCCAGTTTTCTCCATGAGGAGCCAGAAGCACCTTTGTCCGAATAGAGTTGACTGAGGAGCTCGCATCTGTTCAATTTAAAGTTGCTGTTTCAGCCAAACGTCTCACCGTTTCCCCCACCCCCACCACTGCGGTCCACCCCGCATACACCCAATCCCGGCCCAAATTGTTTCCTAAAGTGGGTTTTGTGCAAACGCCAAGGCAATGGAATAATTTAAGGATGTGCAGCCGATGCACGCGGCATGTGCATAATGTGGATTCGTGCTGCAGGGAAAGGTATTCTACGCAATGATTCACTTCAAGCGTGATTTTTACGGGAAATAGAGCCCCCCTCCCTCTTACCCCCTGAGGGGAAACATTTAACAGCATTCTTCAAATCTTGCCTAAACCGTCCGGGATTCCTCCAGATACGCGCGCCAGCAATAATATTTTATTACGCTGCTCCAGAGACCTCCCGGAGACGCCGCCACGGGCAGTCCGCTCTCCCAGTCCTAACTGACTGTGAGAAGTCGAATGGCCTCCCCAGACCACCGCGCCTGACGGTCGGGCCTCGACGGCCTGATCGAAGAGGCCGGCGCTATAAGGTGTGCCGCGGCCAAGCGGTATCCGAGGCCTCTCCCGCAATCGCACACTTGAGCGCGCGCCGCTGCTGAGGTCAGGTCAGGCCCAGAAGGCAAGCGGGCAGCCGGGCACACCCGCAAGGGACTCCGGTCCGTACTGCGATGCCCTGTAGAGCCGCGGGAAGGCGCGAGCGCCCGTTAGAGTAGAAGCATAGGCCTCAGACCGAGCCCCAGTCCGGGAGCTCACCGCCGGCAGCATTTGCCGGTGTGTAGAGGAGGAAAGGACCCAGAAGCCCAGGTTTCTGCTGGAGCTGCAGATGCTACAGGAAGGAAGGGAAGAGGTGTCTAGGCGCTTTAAACAAATGGATGCCACCGGGGTCCCTGGGTTGAGGGAGCGGCTGCTGAGCGGCTGCCTAAGGAGGAAAAGATGTACTGCTGGAGGGCTGTTGCCTTTGTGGGGGCGTCTTCTCCCGCCGCTTCCAGGAAAGACGGGTGCTTTGGGGCAGGTTCGAACAAAGCCCCTATTCCCGAGCCCTGCTGAGGCTCAGGCTGAGCTAGAGGTTTGCGCACAACCCTCGCCACCGAGCGGCAGTGGGTTGTGAGCCCAGGGCTCCAGCAGGCTCCAGCGGCCTCCGGCTGCTGCATCGTGATGCTGCAGTAGTATTGCTACTACAGTGGAACACTGGACTGTTCTAGCACCTGCCATTTCTTGGCACACCGGTACCATTTTATTTTATTTAATTTTTAAAACGAGAAAGAAGCAGAATAAATCAGAGTCCCTATCTGCCCTTTCTTTTCTCCCCGTTACGTTAGCATCTGCAAAACTGAAACTTTTCTTCCTCTCTTCCTTCTTTTTTTATAAAATCATTTACAAGAACCATGGAAAAAGGTCTGCAAAAGAAAAGATTTGCTGAGAAAACAGGAGGAATGGAATTTGAGGTTGATTTCCCCCTCGTAAATATCCCCCACCACCACCACCACAGTTATCCCATCCTGTGAGCGCCACCATGGACATTCATGTAAAAGAGAAACATTGATTTCGTCCCAGACGAGAAGCTGGGTCGAAAAAAGCGTGGCACTGAAGGTGATACTGGAAGTTCCCAGACCCCTGGGAAGCCAGGTGGCCGCACCCGCCCGCGCCCTCCTGGGCTCTCCCCAGCTGCAAGAGGCGCTCTGCTCTCCTTGCCTAACACTGGCCCTCACAACCAACACACTACCTCCCTCCCTCCCACCGGGTCTGGGCGCTACGCCCTGGGTGGGTGGGTAGATGTGGAAAGGCAGGGTTGGCCAGGGCCCCGCCGCCCGCCCTGAGCGGCCTGGGCCTGGGGCTTGGACTTGAAACGCCCAGAGTTTCCTCCCAGAGGCTCAGCAACGTGGAGAAGCCTCCGCCCGGGCCGCGCGCCAGGGCCTTCTGACAAAGTTCGCCGGCGGCGGGGCAGCTTGGCCAGCGCCATTTCTCGCACTTGTGGCTGAACCAGGTGGTCCGAACTTGTCTGTCCCAGCGCGGTCTCCTGCTCTACCTGGGGTCCCGAGCCCTGCCTCTGTCTAGCAACAGCCTGGGAAGGTGGGGAGAACCCCCAGCCTAGGGGCTTCGTGAAGGGCTCCAGGAAGCGGGGTCGGGCTGGAGCTCGGCGGCTGGCCTGCGTCTTCCTCGCGGCGGCACCATTGTTCCGGGATTGCTGTGACCTCCACACAGTAAAACCTTTCGGCGCGGGTTTGGGACGGCTGCTCCCGAAGCCAGGCCCGGGATTCAGATCCGGGAGAATCTCAACTCCTGAAAAAATAAGCTCCTATTCGCCGTTTCCGCGACTCGAGGAAATGAAACGCCATTAATATTTGAAAAGGCAATTATTTTCCTGTTGAATCGAGAACTGTCTTCATGAATAATTTGTAGTGAGGTCTATTGCCATTTGAGAAACATTTTGTTGCCCCCCCCCCCTTTTCATTACTGAGGAGGGGAGGTTGAGGGAAACTCTGGAGCCAGCAGGCTCTGTAGATTTTTTTTTTAAACTCCAGCTATAATGAATCAGGACTGCCAGTGGAAAGGACGCACTTAGAATTCTATCCTGAATAGACGCAAACCTGAGCCAGCACGGGCGCAGTGAACTTGCTTCTCTGCTGTAGGTCGATTGCACTAAGAATTTAACCATTTTCTGCTTCACGGACTTCAAACAGTAGGCCGGCAAAGAGCAGTAAAAGTTTGTTTGTTTAAAATCCCCGTCATTAAAAATGAGTTCCTTCTCTGACTTACGACTGCGCGTCTACCTTCGCGGTGCGGGCTGCCAGCTCCTGGAATAGCCGGCCTGAGGGCGCTGATCCGGCCTCACTTCACCCCCTCTTCCCCGGGTTAAAGCTTGGAGGGTGGGAGAGGGGGATGACAGTCGCTTGCTTGAGGGTGGGGGCATCCTGGCAACAGTTCAGGAAAACCATACATTTCCAGACATCCTCGGGAAATAAAAGAGCTTAAAAGTGGACTTTGGTCTGGCCTTTGTGTGTGTGCCAGTGTCCTGGCCAGGGACGCTCCCCAAGATTGCAGGGTCTCGGGGATAAGAGAGAATTTAGTAAGCTTCTTTCCCGGGCAATGCCAGCCTGGTGGAGTTATTTTACTCTAATAATTGCTGAGTTTCCACCAAGAATAGAGGTAAGGCAGAGTGCCAGAGAGTAGGAGAAATAGGGCACCAAGATGGAACTTGTCTTACCCTCTCTTCTCCCCATCGAGTCCCTTTGCCTGCCCCCAAAGTGGAGGCGGGGAGATGTTGACTTCTTAAATTTCGAGGAAGTGAGGGCAAGAAAACCCTAGCTAAGGAGAGTACAAACATCGGCTGCTAAACTTCACAGGCTGTTCTGGGAAGTGTGAAAACTTTCTCCTTGCAATTGCATTCATTAGAGATGCTTCTGGCCGGAGGAGTTCAACTTTGCAGGCTCTTGCGCCGGCCCCTTTTCTTTCTGTTAACTAGAACTAATAGATGTGGTTGACACATGTCCCCATTTCACTTAACAACTCGGTAAATGACATTTAAGGCGGATGAGTCTCCTTGGATCTCTGCTAAAGCAAAGGGGGGGTTTGTCAAACGTCCCAAGAGTCAGATCAAGGAGGCGCCAAAAAAGGAGCGAAGTTAGTCCATGATACCCCAAATCCAAGAGAAAGAACCGAAAACCCGATGACCCTTCAGTTCACATGGTGGTCATATCCTCAGGCTGACTGATGAAGAATGCTTCCCACATGATTCCAAAACCAACGGGAAGTTTTAGTTCTTCCTATGTCTTTACGACTTCGGGGAACACCATCATTTTAAACACCTTAAAAATCAAATTTGATGAGCAGGGAGTACACATATGGACATAACAGAGACCCAAACACGTTCACCCTCACCACCCAGAGCAGATACCCCATACTATCCTCCCCACACACAGCCTCAGGAAACTTGGGTGACTCTAATAAAGAGGCATAATTAATATTTCATGGACTTGGCTCATAGTGACACCAAAGTATCCCCCCTTCCCCCAGATGAAACTTGAGGAAATTCAGCCCCAGGGCCAGAAGAGGCGCCTGCTTTCCCCAGAGGCTCCGCACGAGACAGACAGTGCTGAATACTGACCTGTGTGAGTTCTTTTGTGTATTTTGAGATTTTCTGATCTAGCAAAGACCTTCCCACACCCCGGGAAAGGACAGGGGAAGGGCTTCTCGCCCGTGTGCACGCGGATGTGATTTACAAGTTTGTATTTGGCTTTAAAGGGCTTGCCCTGGCGCGGACACTCCTCCCAGAAGCAGATGTGGTTGGCCTGCTCTGGGCCGCCGACGTGCTCCACGGTGACGTGCGTGACCAGCTCGTGCATGGTGCTGAAAGTTTTGGAGCAGAGGTGCGGGGCTGCGGGGCCATCGGCCGCCAGCCACTTGCAGATGAGCTCCTGTTTGATGGACTGGCGCATGTATCGGAAGAAGGCGCCGGGACCGTGGGGCGCGGCGAGATTCACCGTCAGGTTCACGCCCGCATAGCCCTGCAGGGCCGCGGCAGTTGCCAGGGCGTCGCTGCGGGCCACTGGTCCCGGCGTGAAGGATTCGGATCTCGCGTACATGTCTCCAGGGAGCCCCAGACGCAGGAGTCCGTTCAAAGTGCTGCTGGGGGCGGCCTGGGGGGGCTGCTCGTGGAGCCTCGGGAACACCGAGGGGCAGGAGGCGGCAGCAAGATGGGGCCCATGGTGTCCGGAGCTGCTACCTGTTGTCGAGACAAATAGCGCGCGTGAGAACGAGTGGCGTGGACTGAGCATTCCACCCGGCCCCGGGGAGCCGACCCAGCCCAGCCGCAACACTGCCTCTGCTGTCAGTGCCGGGCGGGGAGCCTGCCAGCGGCGCAGCAAACCAGACGGACAGCTCGAGGCCAAGCGCCTCTGCCGCGGTCAGGCTGGGTAGCTATTCAGCAGAGACCTTGTCGCTCCCTGAGCAGGAGAGGGATGGTGGCGGCGGGGTGGGTGGAAGGGACAGTGGGGTGCGCAGTGCTGAGTCTGTGGCTTGCTGGAGGCCCCTGGGCTGTGCTCAGTAGAGATTAGACCTGCGGCCCCAGTAAGCTTCGGCCGCCACTGCCAACTCCCAGGGGCGCTCGGGGTCGCGGCTCCCCTCAGGGGAGTGGAGGTGAGGGAAGTGAAGTTGTAAGTGGTGGTTGTGGTGCAGAAGTGCCCCCTTCATATATACTAATTTCAGCGCCCAGCTTGGCTGGGAGAGGGCGGCATGCTTCATGCCGGCCCCGGTTCCCTGGTGCTCTTAGGGTCCGGGCGCTCACGCCACTGTCACCTGACAGCGGGGAGGGGAAAGAACCACCACAATAAACTTCTGCAAAGTTTTTTTTTCCCCCACAAGTTTTGGGTTGTGACTCTCTGTCTCTCTTTCCGTGTGTGTGTATGTCTGTATGTGTGTGTGTGCGTGTGTGTGTGTATGACTTTAATGCCTACTTGAAATCCCGTATACTACATAGGCAGCAGCGGGGCGCGGGAGGAAGTGAATAGAGATTCCGGGCCAGGCCTGAGCCCGCCGAGAACAACAATCGCCTAAGTCGCCCATTGGCCGGCGGCCCGGCCCGACGTCAGTAATGACAGGTCCTGCCGCTTGAGGACACACACACACACACACACACACACACACACACACACACACGCACAAACTACTCCCTCTCGTCTCCTCCCTCCTCCCTACCCGCCCAGCATCTCAAGTTTCCACTGCTCATGCGCTCTGACCCGGGCAGGGATCCTTTTCTCTCCTCTGGAGCCTCCTCCCTCTCCTCTCCCGTAGGCTGGGTACATCTGCTCTGCCTCGCTGCTCTCGGAGGGAGCGGGGCTGGGTTATGCCTCTGTCCACTGCTACTTTGGGGAGGGGGTGTTGCGCTGCCCGTTATGTCCCCGGGGTGGACCAGCGTACTCAGCCCTGCTGGGGCTGAAGCGCAGCGCCGGCAGCGATGGGGATGGCGGCCTGCTTCTGCAGTTTTTCGAGGAGCCGGGAGGAGGCGAGGGCTGGGATCTAGACGGGAATGGTTGCTGCAGACTGCGTCTCGCAGCGAAAGAACTCCTAGTCTAGCAGCCCCCGGGCCTAATTTTCTTTTCTTGCTTCCTCCGCAGTTTCTCGCGTCCTTCACCTCTCTCCCTCTCTTTGATTTTCCCGAAACCTCTGTTCACACTTCGCTTTCCTACTCGGAGCCTTCTTCTCCCCTCCTCCCCTCTCTTCTACTCTCTTAGCCTTGCCGGCCCCTCCTCCCGGGTGCCTGGCTGACTCCGAGACGCGCGAGCCAAGAATCTGGCCCTGACAAGAGCCCGGAGTGGACTCGAGGTAGCGACCTGGGAGAGGCTGGCCTCAAACCCACACCGCCCTCCTGAGAGGCGCTAAGAATCCTCCCCGCCACAATTCATACCGACTCGGTCCCCTGGTCAAAGAAACAAAGGCGAGGGGCGCGCAGCAAAGAGGAACGGATCTTCACTGCTAGGTCTCCGTCTGTTAATTTGCGGTCTTGAGCTCTGTACCCGGCCGCCTGACGGAACCTCCGGGAATTGGGACTTGGGGATCACTTCCACTTTCAGCTCTGGCCACTTGTTGCCCGCGGCAGGAGTTTCTGCCTTTCTTGCCCGTCTTCAGGGCTGTGAAGAAAGAGGACGCCAGGTTTCCACGGCCTTGGCCTCTTCTTGCAGGACGCCCTCCAGTGATGCGGGTTCCACCGTTTTGGGGTGGGGATCAGCTGGTGGAAAAAACCCCTGCAGCTCTGGCCCAGGCGAATGTGGCAGAAATAGTGGTAGTGGTGTCCTTTGCGCCACAGACTGGCTAGGGCCGGATGCATGGCCTGACAATTTAAAGGGCTGCTGTGGACCTGACGTCTTCCTGGCTCTCTATAGACGAAAAATGCCAACCTAGATACTTGGGCCTCCCTGGAGGCCATAGAAAGCATCCCAAAGCAAAGCAAAGAAAGGCTTGGATTTTTAAGAGAAGTTTTAAGGTTTGAGTATAAGACTCTGTACCTCTAGCAGAGGCAAGAAGTTTGGACAGACTACAAGGGACTCTGAGAGTTGACTGGTTGCTCCACCCACCCCCAAAGGACTAGTCTTAGACATTTTCTGGTCAGTAAAATGAGTTTCTTTTAAATTTTTCAAAATAATTAACTTATTTATAATGGTTGGCAGTTTCTTTGAGACTTTCTTCATTTAACACATTGTTGCCCACTCCGGCAGCATTTTAGCAGCGGATTAACATCCAAAACAATGTCCCTTGGCTTTGAGAAGTCCAGGTCTTTCTGCTCCTCTCCCCGGAAGAGCTTAAGCAAAGCTACCAATAGCATTAAAAAAAACAAAATTGAAGGAGAGCATTTGACAAGCGAATCCCTTCCACTCTGGAAACCAAGGGCTTCCACAGAGCAGTGTTGAGACTAGACTTTGACGATTAGTCTCCTTTCCTGGCTTTCACCCTTTCCCATCCTCTCACTTTCTGGGATTTACCCCTCAGCCCACAGGCACCTCCTCTATGGCCTCTCACCCTGTTTTCCCATCCTCAAAGCAACAGCCAGATCTCTAGGGAGGTGTTCCCACGGCTCAGTGAGTGGTTTCAAGGCTCCCCACCAAGCAGGTGTCTGTTGAATGGTGCAGTTGTCTAGTTGAGTCTGAGCTGAACTCAGTAAGGGCTCTGAAAATAACCCAAACCAAAACCAAAACCAAAACTGAGTTAAAACAACTGTGTTCCTTCCTGAGACCCCGTTCCTAGTTGTTTCTGCTAACCATCTCTTACCACAGAGTTTTGTCATCTCCTCTTGCAGCATTTAGACCAAAGTGCAGGAGTACGTTAGTGGTCCAGCAATTAAAATATTTTCTTTCCCATCTAAACCTAGCTGATCTGCAAGCTACTGTGCAGGATGTTTGCCAAATTCATTGTCCAATTTGACTTGCATTAAAACTGATATGCACAAAAGAGGATCTCTTAATATACACACTGTGACTCTACCTGCATCAAAAGCTTTGAATAATAGTACAGAATAGGTGTATTTCTTTTAATCTGTGAACACTTTTAGAAACCTGGTGAAGCACATAAAGTCTAATGGTCCCATGTTTCTTACCCACACTCATAAGAGAAGGAAACTATAACTTTCCACTAGAAGGTGATGAAAGTAAAGATATAATTTTTTCCCTACCAAGTTTTTAGACCCTGTGAATTCTAAGCACTGACTCCAGAGATAAGAAGCAGAGGTTTATACATTTAGACTGTTAGTATGCTACACACTCATTTACTAACTTTACCCTTGAAATGCTTCAAACATATGCATGGCTATTTATGCCAACAACAAAAGGGCGAATACATCTGATTCAGCCAAATTCACTGACAGTAACCTGGCCGCATGGAGCTCCTTCCCAGATGCAGCTTTCTCTTCAAGCACTGAAACCATCTGGATCTATCCTGGCTTCTTCAGTAGCCATGGGTCAGTGGACCTGCAGGTCACTAAGGTTGCTTGACTCTTGCAAGTTCCTTGGAGCCACATGGTTCACACTTTGGTTGGCTAAACACATGAATAGGACTAGGCATTCTCCAGTGTAACACTTACCCAGGGACTGAGATGGGGGGGAGGAATCCATTTCACCCACTAATGTTTATTGACAGGAAACTTTGGGCAATTACATAAACGTCTGCAAGGCACATATCTGAAATAAGTCCCAAAGCAGTGTCCAGCTAACCACAGATGACAGGTGAGGCACCAATGTCAGGGAAGCATATTTTAGTTTTCAGCACAGCTCCTCCCAGTCTTCCAATGCCCAGGTAGCAAGGAATCCATATTTCCTTAACTATTGATTGGACAATCTGTGGACTGGTGTCCCTCGGTGATGCTTAGAATCTGTCTTTCAGGATGTTATCTCACCACATTTACTCCTAATACCACATGCTTGGCTGAAACATTCTATTCCTGACTATTCTGGGGGTTACAACACTGCCAGAGCCCCTCACATCACTGATCAAATGTGGAATGTCTGACCTCTTTCCCTTGTAAAGGAAAGAAATTGGGAAGATTTCAAATCAATAGCTGAGCTATTTTTTGTGGTTGTTTTTTCCATTTTGATCTTCCTGCTTGATTTGCAAAACAAGACATATTCTGTGGCCCACAGATCTTTGGCACCTAAGAAGCACTGGAGGCTTATGTGGGGTCCTGTTTGGAGCAAGATCCACCACCAGACCCCAAAATCCCTCCAATGCCCAGCCTTGTGCTCAAAGCACCTGTCTTCACCACAGCCAGGCCAAAACAACAACATAAAGTCATTTTCTAGTCCTACTGTATAGAAATGTGACATTACATCTGCTAGAGCTCCTCACATCACTGGTTCAAATGTGGAATGTATGACCTTTTTCCCTTGGAAAGGAAAGAAATTGGGGAGATTTCAGATCAATAGCTGGGCTATTTTTTTTTCCATTTTGATCTTTTAAACAGTGCTAAATGATGATGATCTGTTTCACATTATGTCCAGAACAGGATCCCAGAAGCTGAGAGTCACTGCACAGTTCCTGGCCAAGCCCAAGCTTGTTGCCTGAATGTTCTGCATCTAGATCTACAGGCACTTGTTCAATCCTTTCTTCCCTGTTTCTGGCCAGGTTATCACCATCACCCAAAACAAAAGTCATATCTCTTCACAAGCTGTTCACAGACTGACTTCAGATTCCTGCAATCTTGTGGAAGAAAAAAATAACTTAAGGCTCAGGAGCCCAACCATACGTCCAAGCCCAGAATGTAAAAAGGAGATGAGATCTATCAGGATTTCGGAGAAAAAGGAGGCTATTCCTCTCCTCTGCTATGGAAGTTTGCATTTTAATAATCATTAATGAAGCTGGCTATGAAAGAAAATATACTTGGATAGAATTTAATTTCCAAGCAAGCTTCTACAAAACATCTTTTGACAAAAGATTGAGAAACATGGCCAAAGGATTTTCCAGAACAGCACTGAGGAATTAAAACAACTTAGTACGTATGGTAACTCCACCTCTCTTGAAAACACTGCCATTAAATCATCCCAAGATAATAGAAGAGAGGTATTTCCTGAGTTGTGCATTTAACTTTTGTTAAGAAGGTGGTTTTTTACTACCAACAAGGAAATACCTTGGAGACAACCGCTGCTGGTGTTGTAGTTGAAATTAGGGAAACTAGATGCCTGGAAGGGGAAATACCCATCCCTAAATCATATGCTTATTCTAAATGGAATATTAAATTAAATTCTTCACAATGAAGGTATTCCTTACAGAGCGGCTGTCAGTCATTCCCCTTTCAGACACCACATTGTGGGAACGTAGTTGCCGCCACATTGCAGAGGGCTGGTGTCCCTGGTAAAGATGATGCATATCATGTAAACCCCATCACCAAGATCAAAGTCTGCTTCTTTCATGGAAGCCAATACATGTCAAACCTCATTCCAATCAAATCGTCCGGAAATGAATTCAAGATGAATATGTCATAGAATAATGTGACAGTGGAACTGCGGAAGGTCAGGGGTGGTTGTTTCGATGAGAGAGTCGTCAAATATTAATTCTAGAACATCCAGATGAGTAGGCATTGATAGGGATTAGGCGGCGGCTGGTGGGACGTTGTTTCACTGATTTGTGTGCAAAGGCATCAAACTCTAAAGTGTTGTTATAAGTTTCACTAGAATTCAAACTCCAAACTCAAAACCCAACATAACCAAAAGACAAAACAAAACTTCCTACTTAAGAAAACAACTTCAGCAAACCAATATTCAAAAAACAATTTTAACTTACTTGACTCTTTCAGGGTGTTTCGGTAAAGCCTTAATCGTTTCCTCATCACCAAGGAACTCTTGTATCTCATTTTCCAACTTTGAACCTGTTTGGGAAGAAAAAAGTACTAGTTACTTATTTAAAAAATGCATACATCTTCGTATAGCAAGATTACATGGCCTGAGTGTATGAGTGAAAGGTATTGGTCTGAAGTGTCAGTCTCTTAGGCAATTTTCAAATTTGGGTGTGAAAGAGAAAGACTCTGCTATCCATGTTTATCGCAAAACAATATACCCTTGGTCGTAAAAAAAAATTTTAATTATCATTTCCCAACTAGATTTTTATCTGAAATTCATTTGTTCATTTCCCTTGCAAGCAGCATTAAGTATTCTTTCTGTTGATCAGTGTTCAAATATCTCTGACTTCTAGAGTTTGAATTTATTGTACAAGCCGCCCCCATTAATTTATTTAAGTTTATTGAGTTTAATGGGATGTAATGGGGAGGGCAGGGTATCCTCTGGGGATAAGTGGGTTAAAATTTGCATTGTATGTGTTGGAACTAAGAGAAGAAGAATTTCTTTGTAGATTTGTGTATTCTGCCCATGAGGGTGTAGAATTCCTTACCCTCACTTGATTCTACCCCAAACTCATTTGGAAGCTTATCACTGGTTAGTTTTTCAAAGTTAATATAAAATTCACCAGCATAGGGGGGGAACAGTATGATTTCTGTTATCTGATTTTGCTGTCCCTATTTTGTAGTTAAGGTAGTCAGAAATAACAACCCCTCCCTTCATATTTGCATTTGTTATCATATTAACTTTGTGAACAGAGCTACCAAACCTTCGGCTGTCTTAAAGCCTGAAACCCATAGTGGGGACCTCTGCATCTGTCCGACGAGACTAAGGCAATGGAACAGCCAAACAGAGCCGATCCACCCAGCCCCAACCTTCAGCTTGGCCTGGAAAGACAAACAGTCATTGAAAAGGTCTCAGGCTGGACAAACACAGCACGCCCTCTGTCAATGAGGACGTCTGCCTGTCTTGACACTCCAGCCCACAGAACAAGCAGTTGTTTAACTTGTTGAACCACAGGCCAAATCCAAGTGGGGCTCTGCTATCTCAAAGGCTTTCCAGTTCTCTATGCTCAAAGATCTCTTTCTCTCTCCCTCAACTCCCAAACCAGGGTTGAACTAACTTGGGTGTTTTCACCCTTCCCTCTCCCTTCTTTTCTAGTCCAAGTCTGAAGGTTGTGTGTGTTGTCAGGGTGGAGGCAGACTCACCTTTTTCCAGAGGGTTTTATTTATTTTCAGTTTTTTCTCACCAAAAGGCATCTGTCCCCAGATATAATAAGTGCCTTCTTGCACAAATCAGGAAAGAAAGGAGGCCCAACTTTGCATTCCTACATAAGGGCTGCATGCTGTGTGTCCTTGCTCTGAAATTTCCTCATGGGTGGCTGTCTGGCCAGGGAAAAGTCCTGGCTGGTTGGAACTCATAGAATTTACTTTTTTGATTCAGAGAGAAATGGGTGTGAATTTCCCTACAAAACTGCTGTTTAAGCCCTCCCTGTAAGAGGCCTGGGTCACTTCTATCCCCAGATTCTGGCAGTCTTTTGTGCATTACTAACCCACAGGCATGCAAACAAATGTTGCAGAGGCTGGACTTCAGGCAGGCAACTGGGATTTTAAGCTGCAGCAATTCCTTCACTGCTGGGTGCAGGGAATCAGGGCAAATATCTTCTCCTTTGGTTCATACTCTGACCTCATTTAGCAAGTCTTTTATTCCACCGAAGGTGGAGTGAGCAATTTTGGGAGCAGTCCCTGGGCCCTTGGACCTGAATTCCCTACCAACCCAGAGTTATAAAAGCCCAGGAAATGCTAGGCTTGGTTTTCCCCAAATGATTGCTTGTGGCTTGTCTTCTCACACAAGCCCTGGCCACTGAATCATTCATCAAGATAGCAACCTAGAGACTTACTGGAACCTGCCTTCCGTCCCACTCCTGGAGAAGAGGAAAGAGTAACAAATCCTGGTAACTGATCATGCTGGGGGGAGAGCCAAGAAGGTGGGCTGGTGGGTACATGCAAAAGATACCATTTTTCTTTGGGAGGCCGCACGTTGTGGGGTCGACTTAGCCAGCGCAGGCCTGCCCAAGGTCAGAGGTCACCTACAGCCTGCTTCCCAAGCCAACGACTTCAGCCCCTAGACTCGTTTGCGACTCCACACTGATCAACCCACGGGCGCGTAGGCAAAGGCATGCCCGCCAGTCAGGCACAGCTCAGCCGGAGCGGGTGCAGAGCAGGGCCCTTCAGGCTGCCCAGGAGCTCCTAAGCCAAAACTGAAATGGCTTCCGACCTTTGCTGTGGCCCGTTGTACCTGGCACCTTCCTGGTTCCCCTCTATCCCCGCTCATGCACCACAAGTTGGACTGGGATTCTGGGTTGTGCGAAGGCCTTTTCTAATTCTTCTGTTCCCTAGAGGGAAGAGCTTGGGTTCCTCCAACTCAAGGCTGAAGGCTGGGTGGCCGTGCCCAGAAGAGGGTCTGCATTAGTGCATCGCGTGAAGGAGCAACCGGGACACTTAACCGTGCCTTCGCACCACCTTATGCTCTAAAAACTGCCGGCAGCTAGATAAAGTAAAGGAAGGTCGTGTCTGGTCTGGGGTTGCTCTGAGGCCAATGATGTTGCAAAGTGGGGAGAAATATATCCTTGGAATCCAAAGGAAATTTCCTGCAGATGGTGCCAGCCAAGGTGCAGCACTCCAACGCCCTTTCTCCATTTCAAAGACCTCGCTGGCTCCCACATGTCCCCACGGACCATTCATCAACCCCAAACTTTCCAGTCAAGCCTTTGAGGCAGTCTTAGCTTTCTCTCTCACCGGACTCTGTTCGCGCCTCACTTGCCCCTAATTTCCAGAGCCTTTAGATGTCTAGGGCAGTGCCCAGAATCCTAGGCGACTGCGACCTGCTCCCCAGAGAGCTAGAGAGCTAGTCGTAGCCCTCTTTGCATCCGGGAGAAAGCAAGCCATGTCCCAAACCCACGGTCCACCAGCCGCGCGCAGAGAGCGGATCCCAGCGGTCAGCGTCTCGAGGCAGAACCAGGATGCGTGAGGGCGAGGATCCGGGCCCCGAAGCTGACCCAGCCGGCATTCGTCGTCAGGTTGGGGCAAAGAGGTTCCATCATCTTGCTGTCAGTAGAGCTAACCTGGCTTCTTTGACCCTGGGATGGGGAAGCGGAGTCCCTCCTGTCCTGTCCTCCTTGTAGGGGCAGGGCATAGAAGCTGCTTGTGTGGACCTCCTCCCAGCGCGGGCTGGCTCACTAGAAGCAAGAGCAGCTCTGGGCCACTACCCCATTCTTGTGCTCATGGTGGGGCACCCAGGCAATTTACAAGGAGGGGAGGGAAGGCAGGCGGGCAACAAGCTGATGCTGGTCGTGCCAGTGTGAGCCCCATGCATCCCCCTTGCCACCCCCATCCCCCTCCTGGGAAGAAGGGATGGACTTATCCCCAGAGCTGCCCCTCGGTGGAAAGGCCCCCTCCTTCTCTCAGTGTTAGTGGGGTGGGGCCTATATTCGTGATTGGGGGGCTAACAGAGGAAAGGAATGCAGGAGAGAATCTAGCTGGGCCTCTTCCCCTAGTGGGGTTTGGGTGCCTAACGGCTCCCGTAAGGGTGCTTGCTACCCAGCTGCTGGGGGCACAGGTCCCGTCTGGCTGCCCCCTGGACTAAAGCACTTACCCTTCTCCACCTGTTGCCGGGATCGCCTCATTTCTGCACATCACTTTGGGGTGGCTGAGGGGGGACCACAAACCCCTCCAAGCCTCTCTTTTGTGGTTCCAGCCAGGCGGTCATCCTTCATTTCTCCTTTTCCAGCTTTCGGGAAGCAGTTAGGGAATGTATGATGAAGCAGAAATGAGCCGTCAGGATGATATTTTAATGGCTTATATGTCACGTTGGTGCATGTGGCTTTGAACTGGAGCCGCTTGCGTTTCCTGCAGAGAGCGCCGCAAATCCCACTTGATAACTTCTACAACCCACAACTTTTTTTTCTCACATTCACTCTTACCCAGTATATCTGGACGCATTTCCTAAAAATACCCTCTTGTCAACGTACCCCCCTTGGATTTTCCACTGACTGGAAAGGAGAAGACTGACTTTTCTTTTTTTGAAGAATTATTTTCTCTCTATCCCTCCCAATGGTTACCCTTCCCCCTCACATCCCCTCCCTTGTGTTTTGAACGGCAGGAGAGGTGGGCTCAATATTTGTTTGCCCTAGTGAGAGCAGTACAGCCTCTAGAGAAAACTTCTTGCAGATAAGGTTTTTACAACTGCAGTGGAGGCAGGGTCCAACTTCTTGCAGGCAGCAGAAAACACTGAGTGGTTCCGATATACCTTTTATTGCACAAAATGCATTTGAGTTTTTTTTAAAACCACTCCTCAAGCCCCAGACCTTTCCCTCAATTCCCCATCCTGGTTCTACTCAAAGTTGGTGGGGAATGCCGGGCTGCTGCACTCGGACTTGTTGCTGGGGACAAAACACTTGATTTTTTTCCCCTTAAATTTCTGTTTCCCAGCACAACAAACATGAATGCTGACCAGGTCCCTTCAGACACCGGGAAACCATCCCAGATACACAAGTCGAGTTTTGAACTGGGAGAGCCCAAGGGAAGGGGAGCTTAGTTCTCCAACCCCAAGCAAGAAGCTGGTCGATGAAAGACCAGCAAACCAGAAAGGCAAGGAGTAGCGACGCTGACCCTGCCTTCCTCCAGCTTGTGCAGCGGGCGACCTGGCAAAAAAAAAAAAANAAAAAAAAAAAAAAAAATTCATTTTCATTTTCCTCTCTCCGGGGCAATGGTGAGTTTCCTAACGGGGCGCCAGTGAAACGATGAGTTGAGGTTTCTTTGTCTGGGAGAAGAGTTTAGGGCTCTGATTCAGCTGCAAAGAAGCCAAATGAAGTTAGAAACAAAGGGCAAATTGAAGGATTCCGACTCTTGGCTTTTTGTGTTTTCCTTACTAGAAAATAATTAGACCTAATGAATATGCAGACGCCTCAGCTAAACCCTCGGCCGGGGCTGCTGGGTTTTAAACAGAGCGGAGAAATACAACCTTCATCCTCCCAACCCCCCACAACCGAATGCATTTTTTGAAATGCATAAATGTTGCTCGCCTTAATTGATTGAGTCACAGGGATTTTTTTCCCTGCTTTTAAGTTCCATACTCTTCTACCTTTCAACAATCATTTTAATATATAGTCAATGGCTCTTTGTGGACGGGACAAAAAGCAACTACGCGGAGTTGTTGAATAGACTTTGCGCTGGGCAAAGACAGGTTAATCGAAGGCCGCATCGCGAAAACAAGCGAGTGTTGTATGTTTGCACTGAATCCAAATGTCTGCATTTTCCTAACTAAATCAAAGGGAGTGTTATTTCTTTTTCTGCTCACTCATCTGAAGGTAAGTAAATTTTCCCTGGCGATCAAAAGCCTGGTCGGCAACAAAGACCGCGCCCGCTTTTTCCACCGTCCTGGTGTGGCGAGTTGCGGAATTTCAATAACTGTGACAAGGGTGACTGATTTGTGAACTAGAAAAGGTTTGAATGTCACAAAATTTACATTGGTCCTATCTATCGGGAATTTAAATACCAAAAAAGTATTCGGGGATTTCTAGGGAGCTTTGGGCAGTACTGAAGAACAATAGCGCTTTGGGAAATTTACAGTTTTACCTGAATGAAAGGGGCCCCAGTTGGGAACAGGAGTGTAGAAGAGGGGGAGTTAGTGGGGGCAGACGAAGGGTATTAGGGAAAACGGAGAAAAGAGGAGAATAACACGGGAGAGGAAAAAAGAAGTCAGAAACAATGTTTCCAATTTCCTAATTAAAAAATTTTCATCAGTAACTTGTAAAGTTAAGAGCTCCCGTCCACCTGTGCTTAATTTTCAAAGAGGGGTGTGTGGGGGGCGTACAGGAAGTCTGACTGATTTGGTAAAAGTGAAAAAAAAATCCAAGCAGCCAGTTATACTGAGAAATCACGTTTCTTATAAAGAGAGAGTGCAGTGCCCGTGTGCTCCCGAGATCTTGAATTATGAACAAGAGGGGGACGAGGCAAGAGGGAAGCAAACTTCAAAAGGAGCAAATAACAAAAGCCTCTTTTGCTACCCTTGAAGGGGGGATAACGGGGAAGAAAGAAAAGAAAGTTGCTGAATCGGGACATTCTGGAAGTGCCTTAGCTGTGTTTACCAGCCCCATCCCCGCCTCCTGCTCTTGAAGACTCCCGAAGTCGCTAATCGTTCAGCAAAAAGCAGGTTTGAAGAAGGGCAAGATAGGGAATGGGAGAAAGAGAGAGAGGGATAGAGACAGAGTCGGAAATAGGGAAAAGGAGACAGAGAGGTACAAGGCTAGAGAGATAACGTATTTGACTGTGAGAAGGAAAAGGAATCGTGGCAAAAAAATTTTTCCATGAGAAGAGGGAAAAATTGGGGGGGGAAAAAAGTTGCTACTCCTGGCAGCCCTGTTTGTCAAAAGGGGATGTCAAACGCTTTACAATACCTGGGATTGAT